TGAAAGGGGACCCTACGGATCTACAGAGGATGATTGCAATTATAGTGAATATTTAAATTTTAAAAAAATGTATTACAGTAAATGACACATCATCATTAATCTCCCTGAAAATACTCCCCTTCTTGTCATGTCTTTATTTATTTTCCTGTTCCAGAGATCAAACTCAGGACTTGGCGCTTGCCAGGCAGGCACAGTGCTGCCAAGATACATTTCCCACCCCATGCATGTCTTTATATGATAAAAAAAGATATGATCAAAACTATACTGTGCGCTGCCGCTGAGTGTCATCCAGCAGAAAAACATGAGTGTGTTCTCACTCATCTCATTCACCAGGTCTGGTACTGTGCAAAGGCTGGCTCTTCCCCAGGGCAAAATCACCACGAAAGGTAAGCGTTTGGAATTGTTCGGGACATGGGAGCAGCCTTGGCAGCACAAGCGAATGCAAAAACGAGGACTTCAGAACAAACTGCTTCAGAAAGTGGCCATAACAACAGGATAAGTGTGTTTGAAGAGGGGGGAAACCTGAAGGGATTAATGGCAATGTGCCTTTTACCGTAAAAAAAAAAAAAAGTTTTTAAATTTAAACTTTCACCATATGTTTCAGTCACGGTACAGAGAAGATGAGCAAGAGAGGGTCTGGAAGGAACCAAGAGCTTTGGAGAGGAGACCCGGTCCCTCACAAGGATTCGTCTCAGACCTCTTGGTCTACCAAGAGCTACACAGCCTGGCTGCCAGTGGTGAATGTGCTTGCCAACGACACAAGCTAGGCCGGCGGTTTGCAGTGATGCAGGTGAGTTGGTGTTCTGTAGTAGCAGCCTCCGTGCATCTGTCAGCTCTGCATTGCCGTGATGAAATACTTGAGATAAGTGACTTAAAGAAGGAATGATTCCTTTGGGCTCAGTTTCAAGGGATTTCATCCATGTTCTCTTGGTCTCAAGATTCTGGGCCTGTGGTGAGGCCGATTTTGGTGGGGGTGAACAGCAGAGCGTAACTCTCACCTCAGGGCAGTGGGGTGGGCAGAGGAGGGGAAGAGAGACCAGTGGGGAGGGGCTGAGGTCCCCCATCAGGCCCAGGGCCTGTCCCCATCCTGTGGCCTTCCTCCCTCCCTTCCACTGCTCTGCAGAGGTGAGTGCTGCCAGACCTGCACTGAGAAAAACAGACGAAGCTGAACCCAGAACCCAGGAAGAAGGGCAAGCCTGGCCAATTTAGGGAGACCCTGTCTCAAAAATTTTAAAAGGGTGAGGATGTAGCTTAGTGGCGGAGTGCTTGCACAGCATTGTGCGGCCACTGAGTTCCACACCCAGGACTTTCCTGCTGCAGATCTTTTCTTCTTTTTTTGGACAGGGTCCTGCTAAGTTGCCCAGGCTGGCCTTGTACTTGTGATCCTCCTGCCTGAGATTCAGGAGAGCTGGGATTACAGGAATGTGTTGCCACTTCCACCCCACATATTTTGAAAGTAGTGTTTAATCTTGTAATGTGTGACCATTAGTTGGAAAGCTTTAGGGATTCTGTCTATTTTGATGAGATTTATACATTTTTGTGGAAAGAGGGGCCTTTTTCTATTTCTTCATCT